CCAGGGAATTCCTGGAATTGTGGGAAGTGCCACAAAACCGTGGGAATTCCAGGGTGGAATTCTGGGATGGAAGCTTAAATCCCATCCCATTCCAACTCTGACACATTCATGATCCAGGGAATTCCTGGAATTCTGGGAAGTGCCACAAAACCGTGGGATTTGAGGCCTGGAATTCCGGGATGGAAGTTTAAATCCCATCCCATTCCAACTCTGACACATTCATGATCCAGGGAATTCCTGGAATTGTGGGAAGTGCCACGAAACCGTGGGATTTTCAGGGTGGAATTCCGGGATGGAAGTTTAATTCCAATCCTGACACCTTCCACCATCCAGGGAATTCCTGGAATTTTTTGGAAGTGCCACAAAACCGTGGGATTTCCAGGGTGGAATTCCGGGATGGAAGTTTAAATCCCATCCCATTCCAACTCTGACACATTCGTGATCCAGGGAATTCCTGGAATTTTTGGAAGTGCCACAAAGCCGTGGAATCTGCGGCATGGAATTCCGGAATGGAAGCTTAATTCCAAGCTGGACACCTCCCAATATCCAGGGAATTCCTGGAATTGTGGGAAGTGCCACAAAACTGTGGGATCTTCAGGGTGGAATTCTGGGATGGAAGTTTAAATCCCATCCCATTCCAACCCTGACACCTTCCACCATCCAGGGAATTCCTGGAATTTTTTGGAAGTGCCACGAAACCGTGGGATTTCCAGGGTGGAATTCCGGGATGGAAGTTTAATTCCAATCCTGACACCTTCCAATATCCAGGGAATTCCTGGAATTTTTTGGAAGTTCCACAAAACCGTGGGAATTCCAGGGTGGAATTCCGGGATGGAAGTTTAAATCCCATCCCATTCCAACTCTGAAAATCCAGGGAATCCCTGGAATTGTGGGAAGTGCCACAAAATTGTGGGATTTGAGGCCTGGAATTCCGGGATGGAAGCTTAAATCCCATCCCATTCCAACCCCGACACCTTTCATGATCCAGGGAATTCCTGGAATTTTTTGGAAGCGCCACGAAACCGTGGGATTTGCAGGGTGGAATTCCGGGATGGAAGTTTAAATCCCATCCCATTCCAACTCTGACACCTTCCAATATCCAGGGAATCCCTGGAATTGTGGGAAGTGCCACCAAACCGTGGGATCTTCAGGGTGGAATTCTGGGATGGAAGCTTAAATCCCATCCCATTCCAACCCCCGACACCTTTCATGATCCAGGGAATTCCTGGAATTTTTGGAAGTGCCACAAAGCCGTGGAATCTGTGGCATGGAATTCCGGGATGGAAGCTT